GGACTTTTTTGGATTGCTAGCTATTGGGGGGGGGGCGTGCAGATCTATCCTGGCAGAGGAGGGAGAGCTTGTACCCGAATAAAACTTGGTCTTAAAGGTGCCACTGGACTGTTTTGGACCAGGGGGGCGGGGGGGGGCTCTGCAACTTACCTGGCTGCTTCTTGCTCTGACTGAGGGCTGCTGGGAGCAGGGGGTGGGGCTTGTTGCATGTGCCCGCCCCCTGGGCTCTTTACTGCGCTCCTGCAGGAAATGACCCCTGCCCAGTATTAAACTTTGTCGGTCTTCAAGGTGCCACTGGACTCGGACTTTGTCCTGTTGCTTCAGACCAACATGGCTGCCCCCCCCACATCTATCTCCCTTGGAGAGACAGACATGCGGTCGACAGCTGGGTGGGCTGGCCTATTGATTGAGTCCCTCTGAGGCCCGACAGAACTATGGATTCATCAGCCCCAATAAGCCCCCCCCCATGCTGTGCCTTGGACAGAGCACAACAGCATGTTCTGCAGGCCGGCTTGGAAAACGTTGCAGCGTTTGCCGCTTCTCCGTGTGTGGTCGAGTACCGATTTGGGCCGCTTAGAGGATGGGAGAGACAGAGTGAATATCTGACCGATGGGGGCCAAAAGCCATGCTGATCTGGAATTGGGGGGTGGGGGCGGAAGAGCCACATTTTGAGTGCTTTGCTTGCAAAACCGTGCTAAGCCTCACCGGCTTGCGTTCCTTTCTCCCCCACCCCCCTGCAGTGATGAACGGAAGCAGCCATTCTCCGACGGCGATCAACGGTGCCCCTTCCACCCCCAACGGCTTCAGCAATGGGCCGGCCACCTCCTCCACCGCCTCCCTCTCCAACCACCAGCTCCCTCCTGCCTGCGGAGCACGCCAGCTCAGCAAACTGAAGCGCTTCCTCACCACCCTGCAGCAGTTCGGGAACGACATCTCTCCGGAGATCGGGGAGCGCGTCCGCACCCTGGTGCTGGGCCTCGTGGTGAGGTTTCTTCCATGTACTCTTAACAAGCAAGCAAGACTGCCAGCGGGTCTGGTTTTTTTGGGGGGGTGAGGGCTTGCAGATGAGCCCTGGGTTTCCAAGGGAAAAGTCCCGCCACAGCTGCATTGGGGGTGTGTGGGTGGGACCAGCCCCGGGCCTCACTCAGTGCCCTAGGCACCTCCTACCTACAACATGCAGGTTTGAGTCCAGGAGGGACCGTAACAGATCAGCAACATTTTCGGGATGTCAGCGTTCGAGAGTCAAAGTCCTCTTTGTCAGATAAGGGCTCTTGAGAGCCGATACTCTGAAAATGTTGTTGGTCTCTTAAGTTCCTCCTGGACTTGAATCTGGCTCCTCTTTTGCAGACTGAGATGGCTCCCCTCTGAAACGATCCTACCACACGGGTGATGCTTATTTCCAGGGCTATTTTTGGGCAGGAACACACAGGAACAGAGTTCTGGCTGGCTCCTGAGTTGGCCACGCCCAGCAGGAACTCATTAGCATAATAGGCCACGCCCAACCGCAGACACTCATTAGGATTGGCTACATTAGGGGTGTGTGGCCTAACATGCAAAGGAGTTCCTGCTACAAAAAAAGGCCCTGGGTTTTGACAACAAACAAGGTAAACAGAATAAGAAGCAAAAGGTGGGTGTGGCTGGATGACCACACTTGGGGATGCAGCCTAATGGGCTAATGTGCTGTGCTGTCAGGGGCGTGGCCTAATATGCTAATGAGTTCCTGCTGGGCTTTTTCTACAAAAAGAGCCCTGCTTATTTCTGTACATAGTCAGGGGTTCATCCCCCCTCCCCCGGCCAGAGAAGACCGTTGTGGCAAAAACCACCCTGTCCATTCTAGATGCCCAGCTTTTGAAAAACTGTTCCCGCCCCTTTGATAACAACTCGATGAGCAGATTTTTATTCACGGTGTGAGCTTTTGTGTGCATGCACACTTCGTCAGAAGATAAAATGGAATTCCATCTCATCGCTGAGTACACACACACACACACACACACATATCTCTCCTATATTATAAAAGGGTTTTGGGTGCCACAAACAGATCAAAAGAATGACAAAGTGTGCATGCACACGGAAGCTCACAGCTCGAATAAAAAATTGTTGGCCTTGAAGGTGCCCGACTAGACTCTAACTCTGTTGTATTGCTTCAGACCAGCACGGTCGCCCACCTTGATCTAACTTCATGAGCAGACAGGAGCCGCTTAGGTTCCTGGAGACTTTTGCCACGTGGGAAAACTTCACCCGGTTGCCCCTCACAGTTTTCACCTGCTCTTTCCCAAGGAGCGAGATGGGCAGCTGCCGTTCTCCTCCTCCTTCCCTTAAGATAGGCGAGCAGGTGCGTCAAGGTCACCTGCCGGGCTGAAGGATTCGAACCCGTCTCTCCTCCGGTCTTGGTCTGACCAGCTGGCTCTCTGGCTCCTATGCTTCGGGCTGTTGCTAAAGGCCCACGGCCAGGACGGGATGGTTTCCTTTCTGAAAGGCGACAGAAAAAGTGGGCCGTGCTGGTTCCCAAAATTCTTTTAATAGAACACACCAAGTCCAGACACGTTTTGAGTGGAGGGTGGAGTTCACCGTTGTCTCCGCAAAGGCGCGGTCTCACCACATGGAGGGCCAAAAGTAGGCATGGGGCTGGGAGATGTGGGAATGGGTCTGCACAGCATTTGTGGGGGGCCCGATTCAGATGATGCTGCCACATGGGGGGGGGGTTTTAACAGTCTCCCCTATCTCCACTTTTGCCAATGCACTGTTTGAAACCAAACCATTTGTCCCTCCGTGGTTTGCTCTGGGAGGGGAAAAAAGATGGACCAAGATTGTCTTTTTCTTCCCCTTCTAGAGATGACACAATCGCCAGAGGAAGGTCTGTTTTGACTGGCAAGAAAGGGAGGAAAGGGTTAAACCCCCCCCCCACACACACACACACCTTTTGATTCTCAATATGCCCTTGATCGGAATCAAGGCTTTTTAAAATCAAAGGTTTTTCTAAAAAAATGCAAAGTTTTGTGCATTTTGTGAGATAATGGGAAATTCAGGTGGGAAAGACAAAAAGCCCCCCCCCTTTCCCACCCCCATTGACTCTCCCTTGCAAAGCACACCCCACACACACACACATATACACACCCATGGCTGGTTTTTCCTAGCTGGTTTCCAGCAAACAAAAGTGAGTTTGACTTGGATGGGGGGAAATCAAAACTGCCAGGGAGGATATTTTCCTAGGGGAACTGGTGAAAGGGAGCAGATATTAACCAGCTCTTCTCGTCTGCCTGCTGTTTCTCTGCATCTTCCCCTCCCTCTCACATGCTTGAATTTGCATTAGCTTTTCACTGGGATATTTGCATATCAGAAGGATGTTTAGCATTTCTATAAATTTTTCTGGCGAGAAAATTGCTTCACATAACCTTATCTTAATGTCATCTGTGCAACAACCAGCAAAGCAGGCTGATACCAGCCAGGATTTGAACACAGCGCTCTAGAGAAAAGGGGTTTTGTTCTCAACATGTTCTTGCTTCCATTGGTGGCTACCTACCCGGTGAGGATTCTTGAACTGGATTCTTCACCAGGCGTCTAGCACAGAGGTCCTAAGCAGGGCTGTTTTGTGTTGCATTAATGCACACGAATGGGAAGGTTTGCAAAGGGAAGTGGATTTCTCACATGCCTTCAGACGTCTGTTTGAAAGGCTGGCTGCTGCGTATGCCGTGTGTTTGGGGGAAGAGGGGAGAGCTCGTGGCCGTTTCTTATCCAAGTGGGAGACTGGATCCCAAGAGGGCCAGCTCTTCTTCCCCCATGACAACAGGCCCCCACCCCTGTCAACTCTCCACTTGCTCTGCAGTTGTTCAAAGTGCACGACACCCCTTGCCCCCCCGCCACATCCGGCCAGCCCAGCTGTGAGCACATGGCAGCAAACAGGGCTTTGGGGAGAAAAACCAAGCGGGCACTGCTGACCACTGGCTGCTTCTTCTCCCTTGCAGAATTCTACGCTGACCATTGAGGAGTTCCACTCCAAGCTGCAGGAGGCTACCAACTTCCCACTGCGTCCCTTCGTCATCCCGTTCTTAAAGGTAGCCCTCTGATCGGACTTCCGCTCGGCCTGCCTCAGAGCCCGCTTGCTCCTATTCTGATTTTGCATAGCCCTTCGGCGCATGCAAGACCCACATGTTTTTGTCTGCACAGCAAATTGCTGTGGGAGAATCCAGTGGGTGTCCTACTCAGCTCATCCACGCAAGAGCCAGTTCTCTGACTCATGGCCCAGGCAGCACACATTCTGGGATTGGGATGGGGGGCAGGGGAAGTAGCAGTTGACTCCAGAAACTGGCTGCAGCCCCCTGGACGGGCTTGCCATAAGCGTTGTCAGAGCTGATTGCACAATAATTTTAAAAAAACTTTCAGAAAGGACCGGTTCAGTGGGGATTCCACGAATACAAACCCTACTGGGGGCTCCCTTCTAACACCTTCCTCGTGGATTATCTTGGTGTCGTGGTTAAGTGCGCGGACTCTAATCTGGGAGAACTGGGTTTGATCCTCCACTTGCAGCTGCTGGATGACCTTGGACAGGCCACGGTTCTGTCAGAGCTGTTCTCTCAAGGGCAGTTCTGGAAAGAGCTCTCTCAGCCCCACCTACCTCACAGGGCGTCTGTTGTGGGGAGGGGAAGGGAAAGGAGTTTGTAAGCCGCTCTGAGACTCCGAGTGAAGGGCGGGGTATAAATCCAATCTCTTCTTCTTCTTCTTCTCCCTCTCCTTCTTCTGGGAGCGCCTGGGAGCTTCGCACTGCTCTTGTTCACAGTGTTAACCTGGGCTGGCTGAAAGGAGAACTGAGACCCCCAGATCTTTACAAGGTCGCTGATTCTCCTGCTGGCTCCTAGAATGTAAACACAAAGGAGAGGCAGTGTGGTGCAGTGGTTAAGAGGGCTGGACTAGTATCTGGGAGATCCAGGTTTGAATCCTCACTTGTGCCATGGAAGCCCGCTGGGTGACTTGAACCAGCTGCACACCCTCTGCCTAACCTACCTCACAGGATTGTTGTGAGGATAAAATGGAGGAGAGGCAAGCGACGCCAGCCACCTTGTGTCCCCATGGGGGGGAAAGGCAGGGTAGAAGTGAATAAAATAGAAAATGAGTCCAGGGACTGTCAAGTTAGCATGCTGGGGGCTCCTTTGAAACCACTGATTTATTCTGAACCCTGTCCTTACTTATTTATGTACTTGTTTACAGTATTTAGGGCTGCGGTGGCTCAAGTGGTTAAGACGCTGAACTGCAGGCTGTGGAAGGTCAGTAGTTCAGCAGTTCGAGACCCGGGTGCCGCATGACGGAGTGAGCTCCTGTCTCTAGTTCCAGCTCCTGCCAACCTAGCAGTTCGAAAGCAAGAAATTACAAGTAGATAAAAAGGTACCACTTCGGTGGGAAGGTCACAGCGTTCCGTGCGCCTTGGTGTTTAGTCCTGCCGGCCACATGACCACGGAAACGTCTTCGGACAGCGCTGGCTCTTTGGCTTTGAAATGGAGATGAGCACCGCAACCCTAGAGTCAGATTCGGCTGGCTTTTGAGCAAGGGAAACCTTTACCTTTATTTACAGTATTTATGGTCCCCATTTCTCATTAAGAGGAGCTGCGGTGGCTCAAGTGGTTAAGACGCTGAACTGCAGGCTGTGGAAGGTCAGTAGTTCAGCAGTTCGAGACCCGGGTGCCGCATGACGGAGTGAGCTCCTGTCTCTAGTTCCAGCTCCTGCCAACCTAGCAGTTCGAAAGCAAGAAATTGCAAGTAGATAAATAGGGACCACTTCGGTGGGAAGGTAACAGCGTTCCATGCGCCTCAGCGTTTAGTCATGCCGGCCACATGACCACGGAAACGTCTTCGGACAGCGCTGGCTCTTTGGCTTTGAAATGGAGATGAGCACCGCAACCCTAGAGTCGGATTCGACTGGTTTTCGAGCAAGGGAACCTTTACCTTTACCTTTTTTTCTCATTGAGACTGGAAGCAGATTGCAGAAGTGTTAAGTCAGTGACAGTCCCCGCAAAGAGACATCTAATAAGTATAGCCTAGGTCGGTACAATCCATATGAGGAGACATCAAATGAGGAATGTACTAGACTGGGCTTACTGAAATCCGAGGGAGCCTAGCGCCTTAGGCATAATAGAGTGTGGACTGAACGAAGGAAAACGGCATTACATCAGTGGAAAACGATGAAACGACAACAGGGCAATACGTGCAGCGGACTGATAATATGTGCTACACATCACTGTATAATCTCCAGTCCCTTTCTCTTTACAACGCGCCTTGTTGCCCGATTCTGCTACAGTACAGCCCTTTTGCCTTGACAGAGG